CCCTCTCCCGACTTCTGCCCATTTAAAAAGCTCCACAGCATTAGATACTGGATTAATGTTGGGTTCCATATTTTTTGTTTCATTTTGGTTCTGTAGTTTTAGTTCACTTGGAATCTTCACTATATGTTTAGTTCATTTGGGTTTTAGGATTTAGTTTGGTTCACATGAGATCTTTATGTTTGGTTCATTTTTGTTCTACTTTTTTTTTATTTAGTTCATTCAGTTTGTATATTTTAGTTCATTTGAGACTGATATATTTACTTCATTGGGCTTTCTATATATTTGGTTCATTTGGGTTCTGTAGTTTTAGTTCACTTGGAATCTTCACTATATGTTTAGTTCATTTGGGTTTTAGGATTTAGTTCACATGGATTATGGTTCATCCAAATATGGTTCATTTGGGTTCTTTTTTTTTTTTTTTTCTTTTTTCATTTTGGTTCCATATGTTTTAGTTCACTTTGGACCAACTGTGTATGTTTGGTTCGTTTGGGTCCATGTTGGTTCATCAGAGGACAGAGGAGGACAGCGCCACACACCGCCTGTCCACACCAGTGGGCGCACCTCACACACATTTACTCCACGCTGCTCTCTCTCTCTCTCTCTCTCTCTCTCTCTCTCTCTCCTACAAACACGCACCACACCCTGGATTCCTGATTGGTGTGAAGTTTTCCAGGGCCCCGCCCCTCTCAGCCCCTCTCAGCCCCGCCCTGCAGTCGCTCTCTCTTCAATCCGTTCCTGCCAAACCAGCTGGAACTTTCAAATCACATGTGTGACCCAGGTCTGGACCGAGATCCTGACCTTTAGACCGGGAGCTCAGAGCCAGCAGCGCCATGCAGGATCTGGACGCAGCGTCGGGACGAGGTCAGAGTGGAGCTGCACACCTCCACCTCCACCTCCACCTCCACCTCCGCCTCCGCCTCTGCAGCCTGTGGTGACCGCTCCGCACTTTGACTCCCAAACATTCACCCACCAGGAGAAGAGGAGAAGAGGAGTCCAGAGACACGGAGCACTAAACCAAGAGCGCCAACTACCGATGAGCCGGTGCACGAGCTTGTAAAAAGTTAGTAGAGAAGTTTTTGTTTCGTTTTTGATTTTTTTTTTTTCCTCCGTCATCGCTGCTCACTTCAGACCCACCGGGGTCAGGACACGCACGGACACCGCGGAGCCAGGATGCGCTCCTGGCGGATTCTCTCTTCCTGGACGGCCGTGATTTTGCTCTTCAACCTCGTCTCCTCCGCCGTGGCCAAACGACACGTCGTTTACTGGAACTCCACGAACCCGAGGTGAGAAAGTCTCTGACTCACACAATGTGGCGTTTCCTCCAGGCTCCCGCTGCCAGGCCCGCGGGCCAGATGAGGGATTAGGTCGGTTGTTGGAGGGAGTGTGATGTTGGTCGACTGTGCCTCAACTTGTCACGGCCGCGGTTGATGTTGTTGTTGCGCAATAATTCCTACCAAGTGAGTCAAGTTCTGGTTGGACTGAAGAATCTCTGCTATGCAGCACATCAGGTCCATGTGGACTGGAATAGAAAAGAAAAGTGGAGGGTGAGGGTGAGGGTGAGGGTGAGTGTGAGGGGGGGGGGGGGGGGCTGACTAAATTAAACCCCCGACTGGGCGGGATGATTGGGTTTTATTGATCCCCAAAATCATGATGCAGTCGTGGTGGCTTAGTGGTTAAGGAAGTGGATTTGGATCTGGAAGGGTTTGAGGTTCGAGTCCACCAGCTGCCAAGTTGTCCCTGAGCATGGCACCGTCCCCTCACACTGCCCCCTGTTGACTATGGTGTTGTGTTTTTTCGTTGTGTGTGTGTGCAGTGTTGTGTCACAATGATAAGTATATATGTATTATATATTTTCATATATATGCATATATATTAAGGGCTGCTGCCAGGAATTCTGGGGCCCATGAACAGACGGGCTCCTGTGTAATACTCTAAAGATCATGAATATATTTCTACATACTGTGTAGAATTCACTGTTATTATTTTTAATTACTATTAATTATGTTTTGGATCAGAATGAGTGATTATTTAACATTTAACATGTTGATATAATATTCTAATATTTTAAGGCACCGATCAGTCAACCCCCCCCCCCCGACCCCCCCATACCAGAAAACAACCACAGTACAGTCAGTAGTCCAATAGTCCAATAGTGAGGTGTTTGACTGGGACTATGTGTCCAGTACTATGTGTACTAGGAATGTAGTGACATGAAAGTACTGCAGTACGTGTCAGTCAGAGTAGTACGTTGTAGTACTCCAGTGTTCTGACTGTGGAGACGCTCCCCGTCGTCCATGATTGACAGCAGCCTGTGGAGTGTCCTGCTCGTCTCCAAATCCTCCCGTTCAATAAGAGTACTCTGGAGTACTCTGGAGTACTCTGGAGTACTCTGGAGTACTGTGGAGAGCCGGCAGAAACCCCTCATCTCAGTCCAGAGAGAGAGGGGGGGGTGAGGGCTTCCTGCAGGTTGTTATCTCTGTAATAAGTCCACTCTGTCCTCAGCAGCTTTCACTGCTCCACAGCCTGTTGGTCTCAGTGATTTTACTACTTAGAAAAAAAAACAAAAAAACAAAAAAAACAACCAACCACCAAAGTGTTTGTTCTGAACAGTGTCCTCCATTAAACCCCGAGGACATGAGCAGGTGTGCTCACCATGTACATATATAAGTAAATGTGTGTGTGGTGTGTGTGTGTGTG